CTTGGGAGAGAGGCGACCTAGAATCAAGCCTTGTGGTGCTCTGAGTATGTATGTTCTCATTGTCCTCTCAGCTTCACTTCTGAGACACAGAGAGAAAATGCTCATTAGATCTACGTGCTGAATCTCCGCTCTCTCTCTCTCTATCTCTCCTATCCTCCCCCAGTCATCTCTCTCTCTATCTCTCCATCCGTCTGCTTAACAGATGGGAGGGTCGTGGGCACAGCTCTTCCCCTCCCCCTGGAGAGACATGGTGCCTGTTCAAAAGATCCCTCTTTATGCTTCTCTCCATTTTCCTTTCTTCACTCAATTTCTATGTTTTCCTCTCACCACTCTTCTAGCTTTTCATTGTCACCCCTCCAACTCAAAGAACAAAGATGTTAAACAAGCAGAGGAGCAACTGTTGTCCTTCTGTCTGCTTGATGCCACTGCGCTCTCTGACCTCAGCAACTGCCTGCACCGGCCTCCCTCCGATTGTCTACTTCTGGCTTGTGTTAATAGAGGAATACCATTAGTTGGAAGCCTCCGGACCTCCCTCTGCCTTGCTGCCTTTGGCCGTTCATAAATCACTGATCAAATCACTGACAGCTTACAAATAAGTGAGTTTGTAAAAATCAAACCAACAACTCTGCCCATAACCCAGGACTGAAGTGGATCTCAGCAGGATCGATATAGAGCGGTGCACATCAATTGTGTCAGACGTCTCCCATTCTAAAGAGTGGGAAATGTCGCACAAGTGGCTTGTGATAACGTCTCAGTTTTATTCTACTTTTTAGTAAAACTGCTACTGAAGATTCAACCCTTGACAGAAGTCTATTTATCTGCCTATTTATCTGTGTGTTAATGGCAACAAAAAACCAAAAATAAAATAAAATATTGGTGTAATGCAACACTCCGCCTAGGTTTGGGATTATTTTATGGTTTTGGATGGATTTAGACACCTATTTCATCCCCTTGGTGTGCTTTCTGAATATAACGTCTCAGACACCAAGCCAGGTAGTCACCACCCAAAGTCAGCTGACCTCTTTAGTGGTGAACCTGCTTCCTTGCTCCAAACGGTGACATAGCTATAACCTGACCAGGATATTTAATGGTAGGGCCAGAGCAGATTGGTGAATAATGCAAATAATTTCTAGACATTAACAAACACTGTGAGGTGCATTGAGGTGCACCAAAAACAAAACAGATCCGTAAACTTCGGTTTCTTCAGTGCAGGTGGGAGACACCACCCATTTGTTTTCTTAGAACAATGGGAGATGTTTGACCTTGATGAGTTAAACTTTATTCCTCTTTGGTCTTGGAATGTCAGGTTGATTTTATCTGACATGCAAAAAAAAAAAATCACTGGCTTGATTTGTCATATAGGACCAGCCAGAGGCAGCTCAATGTGGGGCTTATCTTTATGGGTTTATGACAGAACTGTTTTGTGAAAGAGGCTACAGTGATGACAAGACGTCTAATTTGTGGCTTTAAGTATGTTGTGAAAGAGACTAGACTCTACATAGTGCACGGTCTCTTTTGTGTCTTCTTCATGTTCCCTTTTTCTCTACTTTGGGATTAGTAAATTGACTTAAAGTGTTAGACCATTTAGGTTTATATTTCATTTGTTACTTTCTCATCTTATTGGCCCACTTTTGGTCAGGTATCAGTGTCAGGGGCCTGCAAGAACAATCTAGCTGGGGACTAAAGTGTTGTGCCTCTTGAGCAAGTTCAAAAAGAACTGCTTGTTTGCTGTAATTCCCTTTAGTTTTTTTTTTAGTTTTTTTTTATCTTGGCGTTATGAGGCTAAATTGGATTTAGTGAGTCAGTGGTAATCTGTTAAGTTAAATGATGCTTCATCCACCACAAGGGAAGAAAAAGGGAAAGGAGCCCGATGAGGAGGTGGGCACTCACTTCTTAACCAGAAGCTGTCTGGCTCTCATATGGGACGGGGGCGGGTGTGAGGAAAAGTGGGGGGTTTGGTGGCAAGAGAGATGGGGTGGTGTGGGGGGGGAGGGGGGAGGCAAGTTGCCCTGTTGTGTAGGAGGAGGTAGACGAAGCACAGATGAAAAGGCATAGGGGAAGCTGGCTGAGTCGAGGAGGCATCAATACGGGGCTAAGTGGCAGCAGAACCTCACCTCAGGGGAGTGCTAGTTGGTGCTGAGAGCCAGAATCGGGGATTAAATGTTCAGGACACAGGCTTAATCTTAGTGTTAACGTTACGTAAGGCCTAAGGTGTTGCCCCAGCGGGTGTTGACATTGAGAGTTTCAGCTCTGCTTAGCGAGCTGCACGAGGAACTAGAGGGAGGAGGTGGAGGCCAGGAGGCAGGGATCACGGAGGTAATGCCTCCCTTGTTTGGAGTGATGCCCAGGCTGGGTAATGTTGAGTACAAAGACTTGGGAGGGGATGATGCTGTCAGCCTGTGATTGAGGTACTCCGGCTTGATTGATATCCTTGTCTGGCTGTCTTGTGCCAAGCGCCTTAGTGCTGGCTTGTAATCCTAGTTTGTCTGACAACATCCTTTTTTGTTGAGTACCAGAGGGCAGCTCTTTGTTTTCCTGTCTATGGATGGGTGTGTTTGCGCAGAGCAATGCTAAGATGTTTTGGATAGCCTCTTTAGAGCTGCCACAGTATTATTTAGGATCTTCGTTTTATTGTTATAATGGTTCAGTCTGATCGTTGTGTTAGCTGACGAACGCAGCATTTCAATACTTCCATGGGTGGGTGTATTCCAAATCTCTAAAAGTTTTTTTTTCTTTTTTTTTTGTCTATCATTTCTTTATTCTTTAGACTCCATTGTCCCACATTGTATTCGTTTTTCATGTAATGGCAGTTTTTGGTTGACTGATCTGTAAAATATAGAACAATTATGGTGATGGTGTTTCTTTAGAAGCAAAAATGATTGCCATGATCTGACTTATTTAAAACAGAAGATAAATAATAATTGCTTTTGTGTTTTAAGCATACATACATTTATTTTGACTAGGTATAGTTAAAAAAAATGAAAATATGTATTTAAATGATAATGGCAAGGAAGGTTTTCAGTGGACATGAATCATATCACCAAAGATAAAAAGTTAAATCCCAGTGGAAACATTCAAAGAGCTGATCAGCAAATATAAGAAATGTTTGATAGTTTTTCCTCTGATTATTGAGAAGTAGATAAATAATTTTTGATGTGCCAATTAAATAAAAATATAAATGTAACAGACGCATTTGAGAATAGTTTATTGTCTTTTGATAGATGGTTGTCTCTTTTCCTATCAAAAAACATTCACGATTAAATAAAACATAATTTTATATTACATGAATATTTATTAAAAAAAATAACTTTAAAAATGCAAAATGGCAAATATTAGTTTATTAGAGTTTTTGTAGTGTCCTTTTATCGTCTTCATTTTCTGTTGAACATGGAACAAAGTTGTGTGCTGTTGCCAAAGGCCTTGGTCTGTCACTAAGAGCCAAAGTATCCCTGGTTGTCTCCATTACAAGCTTTCATTATCAATGTCCTACTCACAAGCACAAAAAGGTCAAGTGCATAGCAGTGTCCTGCACTACATCTAAGAGGTTTGGATCTTCCTTGTACTCCTTTGGGCATGTTACTCAATAAATACATGGATTCGGGTTAGGGAAGAGTAAAAAAAAAATAAAAAGGAAGAAGAGCACATTACAATGTTCGAATATGTGTATGGGAGTATGCAAAAGGAGAGAATATGAGAGAGTGAGGAAAAAGAGCAAGGGTGTTTGAGAAAAGAGAGACAGAGAGTGATAGAGAGAGAGACTGAGACTGACATGTCTTTTGGTGAAGTGGTGTCGTCTTCCACATCAATGTCTGATGCTTGTGCTGCCAGGTGCCGGAAATGTGGTTCAGAAAGGAGAGAAGAGAGAAGAAGGGGAAAGTAGAGAAAAAAAGGCAGGGTAGATGGAAGATTTTTTTTTTTTTCTTATGTGACGGCGCTGACAGCTCCCCTGCATTGCACTGAGCTTAAATAATGGGATGCTCATTTGCATAACGAGGGACGTTATCACCTCTACTGTCAAAAGAAAACACAACAACAGTTCTTCTGCTCCTCCCCGAGATAGATTGGGTTGGCCTACTTTAGCACTCCAGAGAGATGCTCTGGAGCTCGGGCTTAGCCAGGCTCATACAAGAGTGCACACACACACACACGTACACGTGTGTGTCTGTGTGTGTGCATGCACACCTATGCACACGCATGCACACGGACAGCCGTTCAAAGTTTTTGGAGCGCGGTTCTCTTTTCCTCGTGGGTGCAGTCCTGCACATAAAGCTGCAGCGCTCCACCTGAGTGAGGGTTTCTACACCCTCAGCTGTTCACACAAAAGTACAGTTTTTTACTATTAATCAGGTGGTGTCACTGACTTGCAGTTTCTCCAGCTGGATTAAGTGTAAGCAGGAGTTGCGTTCGATCCTAGTGCGACTTTCAGAGAAAGGGAGCATTTTTTCGTGTTCTCCTTGTGGCTTTGTTTTGCCAGAACGTGGCGAGACCCGGGCTCCGCTTTTACATCTGCCACTTATCCTGTAGCTCACATCTGCCTCGCCGGCAGATGTGATATGGACTGCAGATAGAGTAGTAAAAGTACATGGCTGGCAAGTTCTACTGTCAATATACAGTGCTGTTTCAAGGGAGAGACATAAAACGTGTTTCTCAGAGCCGAGGTAATGTAATGGTGTTGGTGATTAGAGCATTTAAGTTAGTGGCACATCCAAAACACTGTCAAAGAACGAGGCGAGATCCTGACAGCGCTGTCTTCTCTCATAGTGGGTGCCTCGGTAAAAAAATAAAAAATAAAAAAAATGCAAAAACTGATTTGCATGATATCGACAGAGAAAAACACAGCATTTCTCACAACATTGTTGACAGATTCTTTGTCTTTCTTCACCCTCCCTTGTGGCTGCCGTGATGCTACTTTTATATATTTTTTCCCCTCTCACTATTTTGCCATATTTCATTTCATTTAATTCTTATTCTCTGCTTACCCCTCCCTCTCTGTCTTGCAGGTACAGATGCTGGAATCTTTGAGGTGATTGGAACAAATAGAAAGAAGAAAAAAGCTAGATAAGAGATAGCAGGAGTGCAAGAGTGAAGAGAAAGAGGAGCGAAAAGAAGAATAGAGGAGAGACAGAGAGTGAGAGAAAAGAAAGAAGAAAGCTTTGAGTTATTCAGAAAGAGAAGAAAAAGAAAGAGACGGGGACGATGGGGAGGAAAAAGATTCAGATCACGCGGATTATGGATGAACGCAACAGACAGGTAAGTCCCGAGGGGGTGGGAGGATGGATGAGTACGAGAATGGGGGGAGAGAAAAGGCTGGAGGAGGGAGGAAGAAAGGAGAAACACCCTACACCCCCAGTAGCCCTCAACAATGAAGGTCTTCTGGGAGTCTGGGCAATATGTGAACTGGGGAAAGGAAAGGTGTATGCAGGAAATCTACTTATTTAATGCCTTTCAGAAGTATCCATATATCTTAAACTTTTACCTTTTCTTAGATCGCAAACCAAAAACTTTAGTTTATTTCATTAGGAATGTATGTGCTAGACCACCACAAACTGGAATGTAATTGTGAAGGTGAAGGAAGCGATCTCAACTGATTGTTTTTTTTTTATAAGTTATTTTATGAAAAGCCTTTAAACATTAGTGAACACATACCATCATTAAGACCAAGAAATACACTAGACTGGTCAAGGAAGTTCTGCAAGAAGAAAATATAATGCAGAATTGCAAATGTGAATTTCAAACATTTGGAAAGGCATTGTAGAAAGTAATGTGCAGGACTGAACAAAACATTTGAAAAAAGAGTGACTTTTTTTATTTTTTTAGTTTGCATACAAAAGCTACGTGTGGCAGAAAAATGAACGTTTGACATTAAGCAGAACATATTGTCTTCTTTGAAGACATGTCCATGGCAGCATAATTCTGTGGGGATGCTTAAGCAGGAAATAGGTAGCTGTTCAGAGGTGATGGGACGATTGACAGATAAACACAGAGCAATCTTTTAATAACACATCTTAGAGGAAGAGGTTCAACTTACTTCTACAGAACAATTGTGTTCAAAATACAGTCAAAGCTGCAATGGAAGAGTTTATCTCAAAACATATTGATTTGATCGAGTGCCCCAATGAAAGTCGAGACCTAGATCCAATTGAGAATCACTGACTTGAACTTAGAAATTCATGTAGACAGACATTCATCATCCCATCGGATTGAGCTTGGGGTATATATCAAAATGTTTTAGTCCTTAGCAGTGTAAAGCTTATACAGACGTATAAAAGCACACTATACTTTTCAGATTTTTATTAATGAAAAACTTTGAAAGAAATCTTTGCCTTCCATTTCATAGTGTTGTGCTGACTTGTGCAAAAAAAATCTAAAACAATATACTGATGGCTGTGACATGATGTCTGGCACTTTACATTTTTGGTGGAGGAGTTGCTGTACATTTCTCTTAAGTGTAAAAAAAAAATAATCGGGGCTTTACATTTGTACATTTTAAAATTAATTCCACATCACTACCACACAGCTGCAGCTGAAGTGTCCTTTACACAACCAACCTGTCACAATGCACATTTTAGCTCACTGCCAGTGGAATATTACCGGGAAGAGGCCAGCAGTTCACGAGTGTCTGGGTGGAGTAAAACATAAATAAACAACCAAACAGAGATGGAATAGTTAAAGTGACACGCTGGAAAACAAATGCTGTAGCTCTATTTTTGTTTTGATTAGAATCGGTACCAAGTCGCAGAGCATTTCAAATCAAACAGTTTAAGCTAAACAACAGTGCTAATAAGGGACATATTGATGTACAAAACACTTTGCGACAACAGCTGGCATCACTTGAGAGATATATATATATATATATATAAAATGAGCTAATAGTGGACAGAGAGTTAGAAGTAGACACTATAGTCTGTGGCAGGAAATAGACAGAGACAGAGCTCTCTCTCTGCCCTTGAGGCCCACAATCGATCACTTCCTGTGGCATGGCTGACCACTGACACTTTGTCAGCTTCCTGGCAGCTCCAATTGGATCCATACGCTGCTAAGGTGGCCTCTGGATCACAGGTCAAACACATACACAGACCCATTTCTGTCGCTGCTGAGGCATCTTTATTCTTGGGTTTATACAGGCATGCTCCCATGTTGCTTCAGGCCAGAATTAGTGATCTTGAGGACACAATTTAAGGACAGTCAAGGATATATCAAGGGATAGTTTGGATTGTTTTAAGTTTTAAGTTTTTATCAGGATTAGTTCCCTTACCTGAAGTAAAAATATGTTATTTTGCAATGAGTGTGCCAGAGCACTATCTCACAATTAGTCATCATTTTAGTTTCCTGTACCATTCTAAAACATCTCAAATTGAGTTTATTTATATCTGTGTGGAAAAATTCAGTACTAGTGGTTATTCACTGCCTATTCTTTCACAAGAGACCAATGTTAATATTGTCAATGTAGTTTAAGCTAAGAAATCTCCATGTCAATACGCCTGATCAACTTCAAACTGAATCTCTGCTCTAAGTTTGTCAAGAGTGGAGTAAATATTAACATTTTTCAGATCTAGTAGCTATTTGGAAATTATGCTGAATGACTCAGAACCAGTTTATCAGACAGACTTGACATACAGTGACAGCCTGCAGCTTCACACATGGGAAGTTTAGCATTGTTGTAACACAGATTTCAAGCTTAGAAAACAGCAAAAAACTAACAATGGTCTTTTGTGAAAATAAAGACGGTTAAAATGCTGTTACTTATACAGATCCTTTTCATTTTAGCTGTTTAAAAATCGCTAAAATAAGCTAAAACTTGTCTGGTTAGCTGTTAAGCCTTCTCGGGATGTATGGCGTGTTTTATTTGCAGTTGGATGGTGACCATTTTAGCGTTCCCAGTTAGAAAAACAGCAAGAACACCCCGTTAGGTTAGAAGACTGACTGGGAGAAGTTCAGGGTCCATCATAGCTGTCATACAGGTTAAACATATTTATAGTAGCAACTATTAGCATTTTTAAGCATTTTTGACATATTATATCTTAATAAATTGACATATTATATCTTAATAAATGAATCAGTCCATTTTGTTTTCTAAAAGCTTATCATATTATGACATCCATCACAGTACTGATAAAAACTTTACAAAATTGTGTTTTAATAAATAAATAAATAAAAATGTCCCTTTAAGAGAAAGCAAACAAAAAAAAATCTAGGTAAATAAAGTTTGATTGGGAAAAAAAATTATATGTAAAAGCATTTGCTCTTATGCCAGTTTTTTGTTACTGAAAGAGACAGGCAGGCGGACCAAGAGACAGAGCAAGAGCAAGGGGGAGGTCACAGGAATGTTACATGAGGACTATAACTATCGTGTTGCAGCACCCACTCTCCCTCAGTGTTATCTCAGGCCCTCTCCCTCACCTCCGCCTTAGCCTATGCCTGCAAGCTGCACCAAGCTCTCTGACTCCTGAGGATAAGGAGGGGAAGAGAGAGACAGGAAGGACACCTGAGGGGAATCGATGCCTCAGATATCTTGGCTTTATTTACAGGGAGAGGAGGAAGGAGAAGGAAACTGAGCAGAGAGAAAAGGGTTCACGGAAAGGAAAATCAATAAATCGCTGCATTTTTCTTGTTTTGATCTTTAAAGTGATAATAATCATTAATAGCTGCTGTTTTATGGAAATAATAACTCCTCCTGACATGACCTCACCAAGTTATTCGGAAAGCACCGCTCTCTTATTGAACCATGAGCTTAAATAGGTGATGTCATTTTGTTTAGGGGAGGAGGACATCACAAGACTGAGACAGACACAGAAACTAAAAATTTCTTCCTTTGCGAAAAAAAAAAACAAAACAAAAAAAAAAACAGAAGCCTTGCTTTTGCATATTTTCACTTCCTTTTTGAGGAAATGTCCCAAGTCTAAGCCAAATAAACACCAGATGACTGCTCTCTACCTCACATTCATAACATATTTCAGTTTTTGTATCCCTAAAACCTTGACTGTGCACTTAAAAGGATATTTCAGAATTGTGAAGTGAGATTATGTTTAAAGGTTACAATCCAAAAATATCTAACATTCAGTCGGTGACTCTCTTGACGTCTTCATTTAGCATAAATCCAGATAAGTTGATCCCATTGGCTGAAGCTAATGGCCAGTGCAAGAGTGGCCAAGACCAAAGTGGACATTTACCAATTTAAAAGAACTCTACTTATGAAAAAAACATAATTGTGATTAAATGTAAAACATTTAACAATGCATTACACTTTTCTTAGAAACTCTGATGAGAACCCAAAAGAATCAACAACCTCCTCAGCTTAAAGTCAATATCTCACTGCCCTGGCTATCATTGTACCATAGCGATGGATGCTAACACTACTGAAAATAAATGATCTGGTAGCGAAATAATCCTCCAACACAAATTTACAGGATTTACAGGTTGCCATGACACTGAACCAACTAATGTGGATTTACCTTAGATAACAATAACACAAGGGTTATTTGGCCCAGCTAAGTTATAAACTCTACGTAACCTTTTAACAGAGCATCATTTAAAAACATCCTTAGCTATCCCTCCAAACATATCAAAGCTTATTTTACCTGCAATACAAAAAAAAAAAAAAAAAAAAAAAAAAAAAAAAAAAACTTACGTTTTGGGGGAAAAAAAAATTTGATTTTTAATTTTAAAAAAACCTCAAAATGTG